CCAAAGATGTGGTTCAATGTATGTATGTGGAATGACTCTCCTCTATTACCAAACGTTCTTTTAGCTCAATATCGTATAAAATGAGTTATAAAAGAGCTGTGGCAGCCATCTTGAATCAAGCTGAATTCAAATGTTTATCAGCTGTGGATCTAAATCCAATCATTACTYTGTGTGAGTTTCCATAAAAGACGTTCACTTATTCTGCTAACAGACAAAGAAATGAAAATGRATTTTCAGCTGTGGCTTTGCACCCAGGTGAAGCACAACTCGTACCTGCAGGTGCTGCTCTTGTGCATGACCTCGGATCTGTGATACCCCGACAGCTTGCAGAATCCATCGTTGCTGTAAACCACCGGCCACTCCACGATCTGTGCGTTTCCCAACAGGAAGCTGGTTTCTGAGTCACAGCAGTGGAAAAGGTAAGACTTAATTACATTCGAGAAGTCAACCGCACCGCATCTTCACACCTGACCTGCAGGAAAACTGGAATAAAAGAAAACCTCAGTGAAAATTCAAACACMACGGAAGCAGAAAGTGTGTGTTTTTAACCCTCATCTGCAGGGGCGGAGCAAGAGGGGTGGCCGGGGTGGCAAGTGCCACACCTGGCACCTGATTGGCCACCCCAGGTGCCACCCCCAAATTATTATTTCTTTAATGCTACATTTAATAACAAATTCTTTGATCCAGGATGAATTTACAAACTAACGCCAACTTGGTAAAAAAAAAATTAAAACTGCATCGTTTTTAGTTTGCTGACGATGCAATGAATCCTGGGACATCTTCTGCCAAGATGGATACTCAAATGCAGCCTTCTTTTTCAGGATTTTGGATCTCACAGATTAGGACAGCCTTTGGCAGTGATGTAAGCAGCCAACAAATGCACACTCAGGAGGATGCAGCCCCTGAATTGAGACACAACGATGTGCACTGCTATGCAGATTCTTTGGTGTCTATCTTGGATTTTGTGTTTGCRTTAAGATTTTGTTAAAGATTGTACTTGGCTACCAATATGTAAAATTTCAACTGTATGTTTAATTAAATAGCTAATTTTTGGTCCTTTGTAAAATGGGCATTAGCATTAGCAGTTAGCTTAAATTAAGATTAGCAATCAGCATGAGTTTGGGATTGTTCTTAGCTTCATCGCAACAAATTTTAGCGCAATAAGTCCTAAAATTGCTGATTTATATCTATGTAAAGTTAGCTGTGGTGGCCATGTTGATGTTTTTTATTGTTTTTTAGAATTTGGTAAAGACTGTTTTGGCTATTACTAATTTTCAGTTTTGTTTGTCTAAAATGAACTGAATAACAGCTTTTTGTAAAATTAGCATTAGTCGCAAGCTTGAAATTCTGACTATCATTCATTTTGGATCATTCTTAGCTGCGATCACGCAAAATTTTAGCTCCACGTTTCTTAAAACAGCTAAATAGGAGACATTTAAAATTAGTTGTGGCAGCCATCTTTAATTTTTAAATCAAGAGTGCTTTTTTTAATTTGTATGTGCTCCCTCTAGCAGAGTGGTTCCCAAACTTTTTGTCTTCTGGCCCAGAAAATATCCATGGCAAAAACTTGTGACCCCAAATATTACTGGTC